CTCTTCCTCAATCTCCCCGTCTTCAAGGTCGTCATGTTGACTAACCAGACTACCTGGAACCATGAGGAATTACTTTCAAAAACTCAAGAAGTGGCAATAATACTTTGGGACACTCAATGAGATGGCGGCGCTAATATGCCCCGGGGGTGAGCCACACCTCTGCTTTGTTTTTTCCAAGAAGAAAAGAAGCTTACGGGTGTGCCTAATCCCAAAGTTTGACCTTCCGTGCCTAACCCTGCAAGTTCTGTAAACTCCCGTCAAGCTTGGCGAAATGGTACTAGCGTTATTGGAACACCATTTATCCACTTTTTTTCAGATCCTGAAAAGTTATTTTGACAAATATGACAGGAGTTTACAAGGTATCTGACAGGTGATAACAATGTTTACAGTCTGTTGACAAGGTTGTTCCGGTATTCACATGTGTAAGCTCAGAGGATTTGCTATGCTGACGCGCACACAGGTGGGCCCAACCTCCCCCCTCCCCCAGCGCACCGGTTATCGGCGCCGTGAGGGCATTCTTATTGGGACTGCAGAAGTTCCTTGTTCGAGGAAATATCTGTTCTCTATAGGTAACCTTGGCACATGGTGAAAACTACAACCCTTCCCAAGTCATTTGATAAGCATCCTGAAACTTCTGAAATGGGGGGATGGGGGCGGCTGGATACCCAACTCGAACGTGGCAGAAGCTGACCCCCCTGTGGAATGTTGCCATTCCAGGCCAATTGTCATCATGTCTTTCTCCGTCACAAAATAGAATGACAATCGTCTTGAATGAAACATCCCAAAATACGTAAAAATTAGGTGAACTGGTAGCCTTGCCCTCCTCAGCTCTGGAAAAGGAGGCTCATGCCGTATTCACATAAAAGGCGCAACCACGCCCTTTTCATGTCTGGGATGAGATGTCTACGTGAAAGCAAATAGCTAAACAACATACTGAGAACGTCACGAAGTGTAGGCTGATTGATCTGCTTCGTTGTTTCCTCATCAACAGTCAGATCGATCACCTGCCTCGAGACCGATACGGGTGAACTCGCTTTCGCTAAATTGTAAAATAAATAAAACTTTCTAAATCACTGAATCTGTAAGACTCAATTCACTACAATTTCAGATATTTATAGCCGCTGACAAATATTGGAGGCGAACCCATATCTTTTGAAAGTCACGCTCCCAACAAAAAAAAAACAAGAAGTAAATAGAAAACTGTTGTCCATTGCAAAACCTCCACCTTGCAGTAGAGAACGCTCATACTTCGCATCAGCGTCCTGAGAGAACGAAGCCTTTTGAGGCAGTAGGAAAGTATAAGTGCCGGTTTAATGTTTTGTGTGTACGCAAGCATTTTAAAGGCAGCTGGCATGATAAATCCCTGGAAACGAGTAGGATTGATACGCCTGGCAAGGCGAATTTTCCGCGACCTTGAGTAGGCGCTGCGTAGTTGTTTTTCCTAGGAAGGTACCCTTACAAGGGTATTATCAAGCTACAACGTACCTACCCAAACGACCACCACG